GGGGGGGGGGGGGGTAAACCTCTGCCAAGGCCAGTAAAATGCCAGCTTCCCAGAGAAAGACTCCTACATATCATACATTACATAAAAAGTTCTGCAGCACAGTGAGCAGTAAGCAGTACTTGCAGACAAGAGTATCAAGTAGTCAAAGAAGCTTACTTGAGCACACGGTTAAGTTCACAGTAGCAGGATGGGGCTTTTGCAACAAAAACAAGTATACCGTGTTCTGCTGTATTTATTCCGCACACATACACACCAATGGCCAGAAGTCCATCAATAACCATAGAATCATAGAATCAGTACGGTTGGAAAAGACATTTAAGGTCATCGAGTCCAACCATTAACGAAGCCCACCACTAAACCACGTCCCTAAGCACCACACCTACATGTCTTTTAAATACCTCCAGGGATGGTGACTCTAACACTTCCCTGCACAGCCTGTTCCAATGCTTGATAACCCTTTTGGTGAAGAAATTCTTCCTATTATCCAATTTAAAAGTCCACTGGCACAACTTGAGGCCATCTCCTCTTGTCCTATCACTGGTTACTTGGGAGGAGAGACCAATCCCCACCTCGCTACAACCTCCTTTCGTTGTAGAGAGCGATCAGGTCTCCCCTCAGCCTCCTCTTCTCCAGATCAAACACCCCCAGCTCCCTCAGCCGCTCCCCATCAGACTTGTGCTCCAGACCCTTCACCACCTTCGTTGCCCTTCTCTGGACTCGCTACAGCACCTCAAAGGTTTTCTTGTCATGAGGGGCCCAGAACTGAACACAGCACTCGAAGTGCGGCCTCACCAGGGCCGAGTACAGGGGGACGATCACTGCCCTGGTCCTGCTGGCCACACTATTGCTGATACAAGCAGGATGCCATCGGCCTTCTTGGTCACCTGAGCACACTGCCAGCTCATCTTCAGCTGGCTGTCAACCAACACCCCCAGGCCCTTTTCCACTGGGCAGCTTTCCAGCTACTCTTCCCCAAGGCTGTAGCATTGCATGGGGTTGTTGTGACCAAAGTGCAGGACCGGGCACTTGGCGTTATTGAACCTCATACACTTGGCCTTGGCCCATCGACCCAGCCTGTCCAGACCCCTCTGTAGAGCCTTCCTATCCTCCAGCAGATCAACACTCCTGCCCAACTTGGTGTCATCTGCAAATGATGGATAAAGCTCAAGAGGGGAAAAAAAACCCCAACATTATTTGCCTTTATGATTGAGAAGCAATGCACAAATGTGTTTTCAACGGTCTTGGCTAATTTACAGTGGAAACGCAGTTGCATTAGACAAGGTATTGCCAGTAGGTTGAGAGAGGTAATCCTTTCCCTCTACTCAGCACTGGTAAGGCCACACCTGGAGTGCTGTGTCTGTCCAGTTCTGGGCTCCTCAGTACAAGAGAGACATGGACATACTGGAGAGAGTCCAACAAAAGAACACCAAGACTGTGTGAAGGGACTGGAACACCTCTCCTATGAGGAAAGGCTGGAAGGCATGGACATACTGGAGAGAGTCCAACAAAAGAACACCAAGACTGTGTGAAGGGACTGGAACACCTCTCCTATGAGGAAAGGCTGGAAGGCCTGGGACTGTTCAGCCTGGAGAAGAGAAGGCTCAGTGAGATCTCGTCAGTATCTATAAATACCTGAAGGAAGGGTGCAAAGAGGACAGAGTCAGGCTCTTCCCAGTGGTGCCCAGTGCCAGGACCATAGGCAAGGGGCACAAACTGAAACCCAGGAGGTTCCCTCTGAATATAAGGAAACACTTCTCGACTGTGAGGGTGACCACGCACTGGCACAGGTTGCCCAGGGAAGCTGTGCAGTTTGCATCTTTGGAGATGCAAAAAACTGTCTAGACACAGTCCTGGGCAACTGGCCCTGTCTGAGCAGTGGGTTTGGACCAAGGACCTCCAGAGGTCCCTTCCAAGCTCAACCTTTCTGTGATTATGAGAAACTGCAATACCACTCCTGGTAACTTCCAGAAAAGTACTGCTGTTTCCCCTGTTCTTAAGAGCCAGGCAACTCCTTCCCTGGATAATCAACTAATGGATATCCTTATGATTGACTAACAAAAGGCCAAATTCAGTACCTTAACTCAGCATGGCTAGGATGCTGGAGCATGGAGAGGACATTGGTTGAGTGGGTGGTTTGGTTTGCAGTTTGGTTTGGTTTTTTGGGGGGGAGGGCTTAGCTTGTACTTAGGCAACAAGGCAGACTTTGAAAGTTTCGTTCTGCCTAAATGCGTATGAATTCCTCTGTCCTCATAGCTGTAGTGATTTAAAGCTACCTGTTAAATTAAGGCAAGCTTATTTCACTACTCTTAAACTTCAAGAGAACTTAAACAAAGGAAGCAAACTTTTCAGTGTCTTAAAAGCGTGCCCAGGTGCAACCTAAAGAAACTGAGTACATCCATACCTTCTTCCACATCAATATGCATGATCCTTCCCCATTCATATTTAAACCATGGAAAACAGAGCATTAAAGATGAGCAAAAGTTCAATTTTTTAAGTCTCGTTTAGACAACATCTCTGACTTTAATCCAGTTCAGTAACTGTGATTTAAATTAAAAGAGTTCGGTCAATTTGGGGCTGGACTATACTACAACACAGTGCCTACAACATGGCAGTTTCAGCCCTCTTCTCAGAGGCAGGACCAAACTGGCCTAGGATTCAACTGCACTGCAGCTGTGTTTGGCCACGTCTCTAGTACAGACTGCCACCTCGGGGAGTGAGGAAGAGTGGCACAAGACAGACATATTATAATCTGCTTTGAATAGAAAGGTCCAAACCAGCCCCCACCTAAATCACCAGTAAGTCACAATCAAATGTAATTAATTGAGAACTGAATTTAACACCCCATCTCTGCAGGGCTGTAGCACAACTTCATAAGCTTGTTCCAGCAAAACAGTCACATCTTCACAGCCAGAATTATTGTATGTTTTTCACACTCATGTTATCACATACGATTCCTGCCCCAGTCCAAAGTGCAAACTAGCATTTAACCTCCCTTTTTCCCCACCAATTACTAAATATAAATTCTTCTTTTCAGCAAGACCAAAAGAGTAAAGGCTGTTGGCAATGTATCATCTACAAATATAGTTAGTCTTATAATTAGCAGGGAATATAAAAGGCTTTTTCTTTTCATTTGACTAATCTGTGCCTAGTAGCGCCGACAGGAAGGTACAAACTGTGTCTAAGTGTAAAAAATATATACAACTATATTTAACATTTAAATTACTTTAAACACAACTGTTTTCATACTAACAATCTTATGTACATTCAGTTTTAAACAATACCTCTTTAATATCCTCTTCTTTTATCAAACAAGTTTTATTTTCCTCTGAAAATACCCAATGTTACTTTAAAATTCTGGAGGGAGAAAAATTTGAACTATGTAGAAAATAGCAAGATGTCTTATAATTGTAACATATCATAGCACATATTTTTCATAAAAACAACACATCATTAAAAAACTGAACCACTGTAGAAGTTCCCATAAGTCCAACAGGACTGTCTTTAAAAGCTTCCTTTGGTTAAGAGCAAATCATTCTTAAACAATTAAGGAAAAAAAAAAATATATATTCTTTTACCACCTCTACAGATGCATATCCTTGGCATGTTGTAGCAATTCATGTATCTTGACGGATGAGCACTGCAGTTGCTCAGTGCTCTTTATTTGTACTGTGATTTCAATAAAATGAATTATATATCAGGTTGGATTGATTTATAATTAAATTAGTCCAACTTCCTAAGATCTCTGAATATGAGAACTATCTTCCTAAGACTTCTGAAGATCTCTGGATATCAGAGAAAGAATGGCAACACTACTACTTCTTCCTCACAAGGCTGACCTCGCACAGTACTTGCAACAGCATCACTAAGTTGCATGAAACCGCTATTTGCCTGCTTATATTTTCTGGTCAGGAGAGTAACACAACTTTTGCTGAGTTCTACATACTCTGACACCCAGCCAGTGGCACCAGCCTCTGAGCGTTCAGACAACTGAAGTGCCAATAAACTTACAGTAATGCAATGATTTCCTCTGAGTCAGATCATGTGTGGCCTCTGTATCACTGAAATTTTAGTCATTTCCAGGGGAAGAAATGCCCTCAGCTTTTGGCCAGGAAGCGGAACTTGATCTTTATCTTTTTTCCCTCCCTGCACTATGAAACCCTCTGATCCATCAAAAAATCACAAACAAAAAGGCAAAAATGTAAGATTCTCCAGGAAAAGAACACCTCATTAGTCACTATGCATCAGTTAAGCTGAAAAGTGGAGAAGTCTGACTGATGAGCAAAGGCACTTGGTAGGAGTCCTGTGAACAATAGTCAATGAGTCAACAGTTTCAGTCTTGTGATCCAACTGACCAGCAGCGAGGGCTCTGTGGAGGAAGATTTTGTGGACGATGTAACAGAGGATTTTTTAGCACCTTCCTCTTGAAAAGGAATTGTTGCACTGTTGTGAAGGTCTGTATTCATAAAACACCTGCTGCCTCGAATATAATCCGTTCCCCTCACTAACTGCTTGTCAGACACTGGCCTTGAGAGGGGGTGTTGTGTGGAGGGGTTTTCTTCAATTATTGGAGGTATCCTTTCATTACTGAAGTACCTGCAGAGGACATCTTCACCTGTATGAACAGGAGGAGGAAAACTAATTATTGCTGACTTCAAAACTCTCCATTAACATTTTCTATTTTTATAAAAAGATTCTGGTTACATTTCAAATTACCTAGATTTTGATTACCTTTCATACCACACCTGGACAGAAGCAGCTGTCAATAGATTTAGGTCTTTTGGCATCTTTACTATGTTTTTAAGCAACACAAACAACAACAAAATAAATTCACACACACAGAGGATACCATTTGACTGTTAAATTCCAGATTCACACACTCCAAAACTGCTAGCACAGGCTACCTTCACACAAATCATCATGATCGAGACCTAACAATCCTTCTCATAACGTGTCATTTAAGATGCTGACAGATCAGAGTTGAATCTATGTTTCTCTGAATGTAAATCATGACTAACTTAAAGCTACAAATATTACTCTAGAGAACAGAAATTAATTTTTCAGAGAAAGATTTAAGCACTTTCCTGGTTTTGAATATTGATTTGTGATGCTTTCTCTGTTTTTACTCTTCCCTAGACACCTGATCGTGGTGGCTGCTTCAAGAGACACCCTGCTGGGCTAGACAGGCCTTTGTTCTGACCCAACACAGCTTACATACAAGCCTGCAGCACTTCAGTACTTTTCAAGTGTTAAAAAAAGCCAACACAAAACCAAAAGCGAAACTAAACAAAAAAAACCCTTACACATAAAAACCAGCCCTGCCACCTGGTGATCGTTCTGTTAGACTTGTTATTTAGCTTGTTTCTCATATCCCTCCAGGTTGGTGCTTCTTCTTGTCAGCTTCTATTTTTACATTAAAAAAAACCAGAATTCAGCTTCTATTCTGCCTAGATTTACATGTTAGCTTTCATAACTGATTTCAAGAATAAAGTAAATAGTCATCCTTTCTTATTCCCCACTCTAGCAGGACTGACAGGCTTTCAGATGTAAAAGCAGGGGAGGAAGAGAAGGGCAGTGTGGGAAGGAAAAAAAAGCCACCCAACCTAACACCCAACATTATGAGCTTCTGTCTCTCTCCCATTCCGTGACATCTGCAGAACATGTTGTTTTGTAACAGCAGGCACAGCAAATAGCAACTCCTAAAAGTCCCTACATTTTACTTTTGAGAACAAACCTGCTGCTACAACAGCCTCCACAATGAGCTAAACAAACAGAAAGACATCAAAAAAGCAGTTTTACGATCATTACTAAATGCAGAAGAAAGGGAAAGGGGTGTGTGTAAGAGTAAAATGGTAAACCTGTGCTATAAAGAGACAAGTATAGATCTGCCCTAGTCATTCTAGCTTACTTCTAATGCTTACAAGAATTCTAAGATGGGACAACAAAAGCTTGAGTCCCAGGACTCAACAGCCTCACAAATTTCACAACTACCATCT